CTTGGGGTCCACAGAAGAAAACTTTGCCCCCCAGACAGCAGGAAGCAATTTTAAGAACATGATGCCCCTATTCCCAGGAAGTGGGGTAGGTAGTTTTTGGTCATTCCGTGGGTAAGGGATGTTTCTTGTCATTTTGAGGGGTTGGTTACAAGTTGTTGGCCATGGTCAGGGAGGAAACAAAGTAAAGGAGGTTAGAATCAGGAATCTCTTTCTCCCCTCTATCCTTCTTTTTATCTCGTGTTGGCGGGAAGGGAGAAAGGGAACTAAAGGGGGAATGGGATGTAGGGATGATAGGATGCAAAGTGGATTATTGTATCTCCTAAGAAAGCAATAAGTCTCAAATATTTTACATTGGTAATGGATTATTGTATATTGACAGAAATTAAGGTTATTTTACTCAACTCTTTGCTTAACGTATTATACATATGCACCGCATTTTAAAATGTAGTAAAGTTCTAGTCTTGAAAAAGCTACTGTTGCAAACTGTTTAGGATAATTAGAAATGCAAGCTGGTAGTTAGTCGTCTATAAATAATCTTTTGTATAGGTTTTCAAAGTTAAACATAGTAAACAGTTAGAAACAAGCAATGTTTGCCTATTCAAATATACTATAGACAGAATGTCTTCACACACTTCAGAGATCTACAGAACATGGCATTTAAGGTGTTTTAATAATAAAAGGCTTTTCTGACACAGAAACACACCTGCTCCTGGCAGCACCCCCTACCTACTTCAAAGAAGATGATGGGCACTAAGAGTTTGCTTCAGATGTGGCAAAGCTGTTCACAGGGCAATAAACAAGCAAATAGACAAACCCAACCTGCCCTTTACTGACTGCTGACAGCTGTCCAAGCTGTGGACACTGGGAAACTGACTGTCCAACTCTGCAGAGACAAGGTAGGCCAGTCCTTCAAAATCCCTGCTTCACGAATGAGTCTGTCAGATATTCTGGGTCTGAAGGCAGAAGACTGGATGACTGTTCGGGCAGCCAGCAGTCTCTGTCCTTTCTATAGTTTTTGAAGCTGTCTGCTCTGCACTGCCCATTTACTCAGGTAATATTTTTCCTTCTCAGGTCTCTGTTTGGGGTTAAAGACTAAATAGTTATAGTCTTCGGTTTTTCTTATTAATATTCAAGACGTAAAAGCTTACGTTATTTAGGATCTAAGGAAATGCTTTCGGGTCAAAAAAGATGTTTTTAGGTTGATAATTCAAGTTATGATAAGAAAGAGATTTAGGAGGCTGGAGAGATGGCTCAGTGGGTAAGAGCATTGTCTGCTCTTCCAGAGGTGCTGAGTTCAATTCCCAGCACCCACATAGTTGGTGGCTTATAAGCACTTGTCATGAAATCTGGTCTCCTCTTCTGGCATGCAGGCGCACATGCAGACAGACTATTTATGTATGTGTGTGTGTGTGTGTATGTAGAGAGAGAGAGAGATTTAAAGTAATTTAGATACAGAATTTTGGACTTAACAAGATAGAATTGACTGGAGTACTTTCTCCAAGGTTGTCAAATACATAGGGACTGGACATTGTAAATATAATTCTTACTTGATAGTTCTCATTGTACATAGTTTATTAATGTTAAGGAAAATGCCACTTTTTGGACCAAAGGAAGGAAATGTAGTGAGAGTTTTGCTTTCTTTAAAAACCCAGTTATGTTATGTGACTGTTTTTGTTTTAATACCAGGTGTGGGGTAAGAGGCTGCTTCACAGCAGGTGATGATGATTTGCCTCCTGCACTAGCAGGGGCGTGATCTTTGCCAGGTACAGTTTAATTCTGGGGACTCTGGAGTGGGTATAAATGGGAGAGCCCCAGAGGGCATGTGGCGGCCACTGCTCCCCCGCTGCTGGTCCTTGCTGTTGTTGGTCTCTGCTGCTGCGTTTGCTATTGCTGGATTACTGAATTGTTGTTTTGCTAGTGCTGGATTTCTGTATATTTTGACAAAGAAGATTCAAGTTGCTCCTAGGAACCTGAAGACCCTGATCAACAGAAAGTAATTTTAAAAGGTCTATGTCCCATTTCCCCTTTAACCTTCTTTCTCACCTACCTAGTGTTGGGGGGTTGGAAGGGATGGGGATGGAGAAGGGTGGTAGATATAAGAACCCAAATAAAATAACTAAAAGAAGTATGCCTACATAATACAGCAAAAACAAAAACAAACAAAAAAAATGAACAACAAAAACAAGCCCCAACACAACAATTGACAGTAGTCAACAAATCCAGTTAGTTGGCCCCTAGGCCTACCTAAGAAAAACGGCAGCAGCCTAGAGCCCAGCAGTGGTTCCTTCCATCTTACAGCACACGGCTTGGCGTTGCTTTCTGCAGTTCCAACTAGAAAGTTCTGCAGCAGCAGGAACATTGTCTACTCTGTCCCTGCTGATCTGCTATGCCAAAAATAGTCACTGGGACATACTTTGTGCTATTAAATATTTATTTTACTCCTATCTATTTCCCTGGATATGTATCCATGGGCACAGGATTTACCTTCTCTGGATTGAAAATTTCTCATCTGGAAGGAAGTCAGATAGGAAAATCTCTGAGGTTCATTCTAATTCTAATCCTTTCTTCCTGCCACCCTTCTTTTTTGTTTTGTTTGGCTTTTTTTCTTTTTTGAGACAGGGTCTCACTACATATCCCTGGCTGTCATGGAACTCACTATGTAGACCAGGATGGCCATCTACTGCCTCCCTCTTGCTGGGATTAAAGGTGTGTGCCACCACACCCAGCTAATTCTAATGCTTTCTTTAAAAATACATTGTATTTTGTTCTTGTACATCAGAAACTCAGGTCCTGCCTGTAAAATTTAATATCATAATATATGGATACTTTAGACTGCTACCTGTCCAGATTTATCAGGAAAAAAATGAAATAAAAGTAACACTCCATTCACTCCAACAGCCCTTGCCTTCCCCTTATGCCCTTCCTTCCTCTCAGTTATCTCCCTAAGACAGAGATCTCAGGGCAGGAGAGGTGCATCGTTAGCCATGACAGTGCTGGCGGGCAGCAATTCCATACACTTTGCTCCTGGGATCCTGCTAATTACTTTTAAACTTTTAAGGAGCCAAAGAGCTTTTGTTTCCATGGAATATATCTACTGAAATTTACCATACTAGAGATTAGAGGCGGAAAAAATTAAATGTATCCACATACACACACACACACAAAAAAAAAAATACCTCTTTCTAAAACAAAAACCGCAAAGGTGGAAGTGTCTCATTTCTGCAAATCTCTTCACTGTCTGGCTTACTGGAGCCAGCCAGATGCTCACACCCGCTTTGCCAGTCATGGTGCCAGGCTGACACATACCATGTGATCACTGCAGAGCTGCACCATGCTCCCGCAGCAGGGTGGCAGCAAGATGGCGAACAATCACAGGACATTATAAAAGCAGTTTTGACTTTTCAGACCCTCTGAAAAGGACTGACTGGCCTGCACGGGTCTCCCGACAACATTTTGAGAATTATTGCTGTGGAGCTGGGATATGAGAAAGGAGCGCAGAATAATTAAGAAAGACATGAAGGCAGTTGTAGTGGTTCCTATTTGTTAGCTCAGCGCATGGGAGGTTGAAGCTGTTGGATTATGGGTTGAAGGTTCTTCCTTAAGGAAGAACCCCTTTTTTTTTTTTTTTTTTTAAAAACAAAATCAGAAATAAGGCAAGTGTAACAGTAAGGGTAAAAGGGCTACAACTTTTCACGCTTTTGAGGCAGGGTGTCACGTATCCCTGGCTGGTCTCAGACTTGCTATGGAACGGAGAATGACCTTGAACTCCTGATCCTCCTGCCTCTACTGCCCCAGTGCTGCGATTACAGACATATACCATCATGTCTGGTTTTAGGTGCTAGGGCTGGTAATTGAACCCAGGGCTTTGTGCGTACTGGGAAGCACCTGAACAGCTGAGTAGACTTGAAGCTTAATAGAATGTTTTCCCTAGGAAATCAGTCAACTGACATTAACTGACGTGCGACAAGAGGCGACGATGGCAAACGTGTGTGGTGAGAGACCAAGCTTCAGAAGCTCTACAGCAGACTCTGTAATGAACCCTATATTGCAATAGTCTTCTTAAGCTCTATAATGAACTTGATATTATACATGCCTAATTTTCTTTAAAGACTCTGGGAGTCTACCTCCCCCACCGAGAGTAAGACCTACTATGTGTGTGAATGCCCACGCGTGTGCAGGGGTGCATCACGTGTGTTTGGAGGTCAGAGAGCAGCCTCAAGCATTGTTCCTCCATTGCTCTCCATATTATTTTAACCCTATTTTCGAGCCAGGGATTCTCCCTGAACCTGGAGCTCGCGTATTTGGGCTCAGCCAGCTGGCCAGTGGCCTCCAGGAAGCCTCTGTGTCTGCCTTCCTGGAGGAGGGTTACTCAACCCACCACTCCTAGCTTTGTGCCCAGGTGCTAGGGGTCAAACTCAGGTGTTGGTACTTGCTTAGCAGGGGCTTTGCTGACCTCAGGGCTATCTTCCCAGCCCCACGCACTGTTTCTCTACAAAAGCATACCAGCGACAGAAGAAGACAGCCCAGAAGCAAATCTCATGTCCCACAATGAGAAAAGAAGAAGAAAAAAAGAACATTTCAGACTCTGTCTCTACCATGTTCCCAAATTTGTAGGAAGAAAAGCTGCTGTGTCTATAACATCTTAACGCAATTTCAAAGATTTTTATTTATGTATATGTGCATGTGTGCCCTGTGCAGGTACCCCTGAAGGCCAGAAGACAGCACCGGAGCTGGAGCTCCAGAGTTCCAGGCAGTTGAGAGTTGCCTGAAGTGGGTGCTGGGAACTGAACTTGGAACCTGCAGAAGAGCAGCCACTGCTCTCAGCTGCTGAGCCATCTCTCTGGCCTCCTAAGGCTGTGTGAAGGGTTTTCTGAGCAGACTTCTCTAGGCTCAGTACATTTGCTCCTCAGTTTGCATCTCTTAGTTCTTCCAAAGCAGAATTCTGGATATGGGCGTTTGGATGCCCACAAGGTGAAGGGAGTAAAAGCAGCTATGTCTACCTGCTGTCCCACTGAGAAGGCCTGGTTGTTGAACTGCTGGATGAATTCTGCTGCCATCTTGTCGGTGTCATAAGGGTTGGAGTCGATGTTCTTTTTTTGCAGAAAGTCAATCTCGATGGTCATTGTGCCGATGCACTGCTTGGCTTTGTCAAACGAATACAGGGAGACTAGGAGGAATCATAGGGACACCAAAAACTTAGGTTTCTAGTTGCAAAGAGTTCAACACAAAGGACTACAGAAGTACTTGTGCAAGAGGGAGCTTCATGTGGGATTCCCTGCTCTTGATCGGGGCTAATGCTTATGCTCTTCCCTGGAGGTCAGTTCTAGAGCGCGCCCATGGCCCCGAACACCACAGAGGAAGTGCTTCTAGACCGGTGCCACTGAGTGGACTCAGCCGTGCCCTCTACAGTACACCTGCCTGTGTCTTGCTAATGGCCTGATCTGAGTCCCCAGGCCCTGGAGCTGCTGCACGCCACGGGCTAGCCACACTCGTTTTCTAATCTGATTGTGCTAGCCATGCTTGGAAGAGTTTCTGCAATGCAACTAAACAGTTAAAATATGAAATTTTTATATTCTACAATTGTGGAAAATACTTTGAAGAGTTTGCTCTTAAAAAGAAAAAAAAATCAGCTAGGCATGAAGAAAATTAGAAAAGTATCTGGATGAAATCCATAAAAATCCAAAAGGAGGACTGGAGAGATGGCTTAGTGATTAAGAGCACTTGCTGCTCTTTCAAACGACTCTGGTTCAACTCCCAGAACCCACCTGGTGACTCACAACCATCTATAACTCCAGTTTCAGGAGATCTAATGCCTTCTTCTGGCCTCCATGGGCACCAGGCACACATATGGCACACAGACATACATGCAAGCAAAATACCTATACACATTTTTTTAAAAATAGCTTTTTAAAATCTAAAAGTATTTAAACATGCTCCTCACATGTTTTAAAGGGTCTAAGTTCTTCTTGCATTTCAAAGAAACCCATAGAAAAATCAAGACTGAAATGTATGCACAGAAGATACACAGTACTCTAGTACACAGACCAAAGGCCCAAGAACCAGCCTTGCAATCAACTAGCTTCCAGGCCCAGTCACACCAAACACTTGTGTCTGTAGTACTCACAGACAGGTGATAAACGGCTGCAGAGGGGCCTACATGTCTAAGCACTCTGCTTCTCCAGAGGACTTGAGTTCAGTCCCCAACCTCCATATTGGGTGATCACAACTACCTGTAACTCCGGCTGCAGGGGATCCAATGCTTCTGGCTGCTGGAACCTTCTCTTATATGTATACACCCCCACACTGACTAATACACATACACATAATTGAACAAAATCTTAATTTTTTTTTTCCAGAGGACGGAGTGGAAAGAATGAAAGAGCCAGAGT